AGTATCCTACAGAGCTGTATTATATGGTAGTTTGATACAAAATTTCTCCTGACAATTTGATTCTTGGAAATTAATTATCAGATGTATTCAACCTATTTCGTTTAAAGTGATAAAGGACTAGTAGTAGAATTTTCCCACAATGATATGATTAGAGTTGACGTTTCCATTTAATTTTATATAGCTTTGATTTTCTAAAAGTTGTTCTCATCCCAGCTGGAGTGGACTGTAGTTTCGACCTCGCCTCGGTCTTCTCAAAACCCCCAGCGGGAGTCGAACCGTGACAGTGCAGAATGTAAGCTTGACACGTTATCTGTACTCATATCATTGTCGGAAAATTATACTACTAGTCTTTTATCCCCTTAAACGAAATAGGGTGAACACATCTCATATTACTGATTTACTCTATTTAAATACGAAAAATAATTATCCTTTAAGCCTTATTGAGAATATCTCTTTGCCATTTAGTAAAACAAACACAAACTGAGACCTTTTCTCATATCATAATTTCGCCGTTATGCCTTCTTTCAAAAATATAGGCGAATAAGTAAGAAAGTGGAGGATAAAAACACTGTTTAAAGAAGCCCTCACATTTTCTTCTGTTATGCCATCCCTTAGAAATAAATATGACCCATTATCGAGATCCGAGTGTCACTGGATCGTTTGCTCATGTGGGCGATCTTATGTTGGTGAGACATACCAACCTATTCGATAAAGATTGGAAGAACAAAAATGCTTAGAAAAGAAGCTGGGTCCAACGATCAGAAGTGGCCGAGCACATGGTAGAAACTGGGAATGATAAAGAATGGTCTCAAACTAGTAGGTTGGCTGATTGTGGTACGTCTTCGGTTAAAAGAAGGATAAGAGAGGCCGTTGAAATTAATAGAATATGAAATACGTAGAATGAGGAACAGTGGAAAAAAGTTGAATAGAAACTACTTATGTTTGATTGATAGATTAAAAGAGAGAGGGTGTTGAGACGCCGTCCAAAAGAAGGCGACACAATTTGTCTGCTCGGTGATGGTTCTGGCTTCACTCACGCTGTTCTAACATGTTAGATTCAGCTCATCAACCAAACCAGACATGTCAGATTACGCAGCGCTAGTCATGTCTTTCCTTGGGGGGGTTAAATGTTGATGATCTTAAAATGAGAGGTTAGGACAAGTGGTTTAGTATGTTGACTTTCAAGCTTACAAGCTCATATCTCATTATCTCAAATATACTTGATTATGAACCTACGCAGTCTTGGTCAAGGCTTTCTCTTGGGTCATTAGGCTTTGATTATCAAAGCCTGAAATTAGCATTTTAATGACTCTGATTTAGGGCCGGTATTGCGTATAGATACTAACACACACACACCCAGACACTTGAGGAAAAGTAGCAGGATCAGTATGAAAGATAATTAGTCAAACCACACTATATCTAGATATTTTTTTATTTTCGTTTAATTGAGTCTATAAAACAGGCAAAATAGAGCCGGATAGTTTTCTTGCCCTAGTGTTGACTTGAAACTTTTACAAGAGTGTTTTCCAGCTCTGATGATGTCCATCAGATGATCGACGAAAGCTCAGCTTGTTTTCACCATAAACGAGGGAGGTATCATGGACCGTGTTAACCTGAACTTCGCATAAAAGCCAAACGGCTGCATTAAAATGAGATTCAGCGGTCCTATTCTGATGAGATCGACATACGAAACTCTTCTTAATTAATTTTATACGAAATGAAATTCCACCCAACAATCTTATCTTAGGTGATTAACCGAAACCCAGCTTCTCTTCGTATATACAAATTTCTCCATTTTTTTAGAACTCCCGGCTAACGAAACTTCCTATCTTATTTTATATCCAATCTCGATCTAATGGAAGGTTCGAATTCAGCTTATATAGATAATTGCTTTAAGATTTATGTTTATTTAGCCACTATTGTATGAAAAAGGAGCATCAAGTAATGAATCGGAGTAGACTCAGCCTCGATTTCCATTAGTCAAACCATTTGATTCGCTTAGCTTTTTTTACATGCAGAAAATATGCATCCCAATTTCTTTTATCAGCATGGTTACGAGGATGAAGAAGCTTAATCCTCTTCAGGAAACTCCATATGGACCAAGGGCACCTAGATTCATAAAGTTTAATGCCCAAATTGAAAGAAAAATATCTCAATTAAAACATAGGGCAAATGGAATGAGGCTAAAATAATATTTGGACAAATATGCAAAAATACTAAGAGCAAAGCCAACCTGAATTGTAGCACTGTTGAGCTGCCCTCACAGCAGAAGCAGCAGCTGATCGACGGAAGATACCCTCCTCTTTCAGGCCTTAAAAGGGAATAATAAAAGAACCGGGGAAAGGATACGACACTTCAATAAGCATATCCACAAATGATTGAATCCAAACGGATATAAACTAGTAGCTTATAGCTGGACAAAACGTTCAGCAAGCCCATGGCCCAAATAATAGAAGTTAGTCAAAAGGCAGACAAAAAATAAATTACTTTAGAAAGAATAACCAAAGAATAGGATATTTTGCAGTAATTTACAAATGGGAAATTCTAATAAATGCTATTCCACCGGATATTGGAATAAAGGGGTAATTAAGCTTAGAGAAACCAAAATCTATAGTATAAGGAATAGTAAATATATAAGGATGCATTCAAAAACTTGAAATAAATAGACTTCAGATAGTCTTATATACAGCAAGCTGTCCAAATAAGTGTCAATGTTTTTGGGATATTTCATCAAGCTAGAGAAAGAGTCCAAGTAAGATAGGCCTACTAACAATATTTTCGTAGGTATTCAGCAGCGTCAAAAAGTGCAGGTGAAAGAGGATCACCGTTGTTGTTAGACTTGATGCTGAAAGGAAACAAGTAGAAAAATACCATTAAATAATGCTAATTATTTAAAATTAATATTATTCTGAAGA